CCGCCAGTACCACCCTTACTCGCCACAGCGACCTCACAAGACATTCCAGACGATCAATTGAGCATAGTTACTCAGCCTCCCAGCGATGGTGCCATCCCTACAGACGTCGTGGAGCCCAACATCTCGTACTCCCTGCCTCCACCCACCCCCGTCACAGAGGTCTCCGAAGTGCCCCAAGACGGTGGGTCAAGGTTACGTCAAAAGTGTTGAAAGAAGGAGGCGACGACAGTCCTGGCACTTGATCATACTTTCTCTACCTTAGAAGCCTCAATTCCTTCGGAAGTGCCTTTGATGAACTCTTTGCCAGAAGAGGTGCAACGTCGATTCCCCTTCTATCCCCCTCTCAAGTGGACCAATGAGCGTGAGTTGGAGGAGATGGCAAATAAAGCCGCACAAGAGTTGAGAGAATTTGTCAACGGAATGATTGATGACTTTCATGCTGAAGATCACATTGTAACCAAGTAGGTGAACAAAATTGGCCTCTAAACCGGAAATCCCATGATAAATACGTGCAATTTATTCGCCTACTTCCATGCATTCCTCAAAGAGTGTTTGTCTTGTGGCATTTAGAGAGCTTGATACGCCCTGTTGTAGGTACCTTCGACAGAAGCTGCTGTCAAAACCGTGTCGCAATCAGGGATTCATTTTGGACGGCTATCCAAACACCCTCAGTCAAGCCGACGCCTTGTTTGCAAGTAAGGTGATACCACATTGTGCTGGTAGACTGTCTGGAAGTTAATTCATAAGGTGGGCTTTTGTTTTCCATGTTGTCGGATCTGCTTTAGTGGATTCATATTTGCCCTTGGAGAGTGAAACAAGTTGAAAGCGGTAGATGGATGGTAAAGTCTGCAGCACAAAAGTTGCGATGCGTCCTTATTTCTGTCCAGACACTCAGCTCCTATCCTTTCTTCCAGAAAGCGCCTCTATTCCAAACCCATCCGTCCATCCACCCGCCCTTCATGTTTCCATGTTCTGCTTCGGTTGAAACATCTGCTCTGTTTTCATCCATCATGAGGCCAATTAGTCCACATGTGCTCACAACTTGACATGGAATGATTTTAATTTAAATTAAACAGCCATTCTTCCAAGTCAAATGGCATTGACACCTTAGGTGTGCTTTCAACCTTTCAAAACCGTCTGCCTACGTCTTAGATCCAGGCGATGCGGGCAGGGACCCTCGTCATCCCACGTACGATCCTTTAGTGTCTCCGCACCACGTCATTTACCTGGAAGGTAGCAACGCCCTTGTAACACATCGGTACAAGACGATGCTGGAAGAGGAGGGAATTGTGTTGGACGAAATTGATGACTACACCGACCCGGATGGTACGACGCTAAATATCGAGGAGGAGGTAGCTCGTAGACGATTAGCTCAAGGGAATGCAAAACTTCCAATCGGAGTAAGTTTATTTGACTGGACAGCGTTGGAGAGACGTCAAATCTATCGATTGCCTCTTTCAGGTAGAAAGAGGCGGTGGGAAGAAGGAGGAAAAGAGGAAAGACATCGATTTGAGGATAACATGGATGAAGCCACAAGAGACACCGGAGAAGAGGTTGAGACGACGTTTGGAATATCACAGATCTGTTATGGCACCAAAAGCAGCCGCAGAAATCGTTGAACAGACCTTTGAACCGTATAAGTATTGTGCGTTTACGAACAAAAGTTTGTATGCTGTCGAATAGTTCTCCGCTTTCTCCCTACTTTTCCCCTAGTGTCCTTTCCCATGGAAGTTGAACGTCAATGTACTACTTTTAGTGGTGACAGAGAAGGAGTCGATGATGGTAGATTCAACACAGTGGCCAAGGAAGCCTCTAGCGAAAGCCAAGTTGGATCCATTGGAACACAACGTTCTCACCTACTTTGATCTACGTGAACTCCACCCTTTCACAGTGAATATGGATCGGGACAAGAGTCAGGTGAGAGGCTATGGAGAAGAGGTGTGTGAAATGGAAGCAGTCTTACATTGACGCCTTCCCTCCACAGCATCTCTATCCAGGAGGTCCACAAAAGTACACATTTAAACAACTACTGAAGCGGATATCAAAATCCCCAACTGGGGATTTTGTGCGTCGAACACGAAGCCTTCTGGATGAACGAGATGGAGACGAGAAATTTGTGGAAGACCTTCAGCGAGAGGCTGACAACCTGAAACAATTCAATGCGAATCTTCGAAAAGATGCAGCCAAAGTGTTGAATGAGAGTGAACAATTAATATGGGTGAGTTCGAGCCTCATAGATGTGTGGCATCGTTGGTACGAGGGTTTGGGTGAAGGTGGCATCGATGAGGAAAGGAGGTGAGGTGCCTTTTCGTCCAAGTTTGGTGTGGATCGTGCAAATCATCAGACTGGCCAAACATGGTTTTTACCAAGGCTGAACAAAGACAACTGCTTCATCGACGACCAGCAGTTTATTGTTTAAATAGGCCCAGGGTCTGACTCTTGTCATAGTCCAACTAGCTGAAGTCCACCATCCACCACCGATGGAATGGAAAGTGGCGATCAGTTCGGTCTGGCAGCTAAATTTTTCCCTTTTCACCGGTTTACGCCGATAATACAATCGCAATTTCTAGTTACCACATCTCATTGGCGGCATTGTGCCAAGTTTGATAAAGCTGTGAAGTCAACTTGCAGGTTGTTCGTTAGAATCAGCAATTTCCATTGCGTTGGAGTTGGCGAT